ACTGGTACTCAGACTAGCTGGTGAATTGTGGAATAGTTCACCAGCACTGCTAAGCTGACTGCTGTTAAGACTGTTAAGTTACTGACCGACACGACCTTGACTTGACTACTCTTTAGTCACTTCAAAGTGACTTAAGAATCATTGATACTTCAATTGTATGCTGAACAATCTGTTAGGGTACATTTTGGCTCAGTCTGCTTTATTGTATGTGCTTCTCTTCATAATCATTAATATATATTCAGTTTATTCTATTTCGGTGTTGGGCATTTTAACTTTATTCAGGGAAATATATCATATGAATAAATTTGTTTTTAGGTCGGTTCGGAAATCAAAAGTTCCACCATATCTCAAATATCTTTTGTTAAGGGACAAAGGATGGTGTTAACAAGCTATCAGAACAGCTGGACACACCTTAGATTTTACTAGCAAACCTTTGCTGGTCAGAAGTCCTTTGGTAAAAGATTTTTGCACCGACCTCTTTGGTGTTGGGATCAATCAAAAATAGAAGTTGGACGCATGGTAATTGCAGGAAACATCGTAAGTGTAGTTTCAGTCTTTCACAACTAAAGGTTTAACTGAGGATAAGAAACACCTCTTCAAGCTTATTTAAGAAACACAGAAACAAGTTCATAAGATAGAAATAGGTAGATCAATTCACCTTTGACGCATGTAACTGCTCTTTATGTAACTGTTAGACTATCGTTAATATTGTACCTTTTAGAATCATTATCTGTAAACAATATCGCATTATGATGTAAATAGTTTTAAATTCAGTTCATTTCTTCTTTGTTTGTTTTTAACCTCGACTCATTAGCTACTTAAGCTAGGAGCCTAATAAGCTCCAGACCCTCGAGTATAAATAAAGTTTTCAGTTTTCAGTTTTCAGTTTTCAGCTGTGGAATAGGAAAACAAGCGTTTCCTGTTAACGAAGTGCGTTTACTTAAACCTGGAGTTGGTTCTCACTTTCGCTTCCAATCTTGAATCATAATCAGATTTCCTTATCTCATTAAAATCTAACCTACGGCCACGCGTCCTAACACCTTTCGAGTTCTTTGTTCTCAGTTGAAACAGTTTTAGCCAAATTTCACTTACTATTCTGACCTCAAAGTAGAATTTCTTTCGACACAATCTTAGGAAAATTTAGTTTCTTTCAAACTATCATTTTGGTTCCCTGTAAAGGAATTTGGGTACAGAGATATTTCTAGTTTTGCAAATTTCTTCCACGCGTAGCGGGAATCAACTCAATTTCAGTTTCTTTTGTTCTCTAAACTCTGACACTAACTAACACCTTTTCCTTGCATATGAATGCCGTGTAACACTGTAAAAAATTAATTAACTTAATTGTTCGATATAAATAGAACCTCTCAGTGTGATTAGCTTCACAGTTACGCCTTGAGATCTGAGATAGCTAAGAGGAGTTTGTAACTTCAACGGAAAGATGAAAACCATCGTCAACTGCCAAACTCTGGTTGTGTCACCTCTCTTCACGTGATCCTAAAGTCTGTAGAAGTCCCCCTCTTCAAATCACTGTGGTTACTAATACGTTGAGAGGCTGCGTAAGGATGCGGAAATAATAACTTGTCACATTCATGATTCGCGGGTATTAAGGTGGTTCTGTTATTAAAAAAGGCTATTATGATCTCTTGAAAAGGCACATTGAATTGTGACAAACTTTTTGTCATGTTTTGGTTTCAACGCGATGGCTACAAAACTTTGAGTAGAACCACAGCTGTTATTCGTCAGTAATATAGATATTAACCACTTTTCATTGATGTCGACAGTAGAATTATTGCAATCGGCCTTCGTATGATCTGAAGAAGTTTGCAGGTCGAGGAGAACGTTATCCATCTTGGCAACAGTCTCGGAGACAGCTCCTAACGAACAAAACTCCCGTGAACCTAATCAGGAACTTGATTTTAGCGCGTGGTCACTTGTATTTTTAAAGGCCGTCAGCTATTTATTCATAGAGTCAGGGGAAGCATCAGCTTAGGGTTCGTTGTTGATTGTCTAACTCATGAAAAAGGATTAGGGACCCAGGCATACTTGCACAGCTTATCACTGTAGAACCAGTGTTATGTTTCACATCTATCATTACCTCAAGGGCCAGTGCTAGTAGTAAATTGTAAATCTAACGTATGAGTGTCAGGGGCACCCAACGTCAATTTTCGGGAAATATCTGTTCGGAAGACGATTTGAGATCTAGAATTTTCGGAACATTTGTCGTAAAATTTCTTGCTTGCCTGCCTTTCCTAGGATTTTCGAACAGCTAAAAAATGGTATAATTGCCCATTTTGACGGATTTTTACCCTAAAAAGGTCACCTAGAATTTTCGGGAGCCATTTTTCTGGCTGAAATTTTCGAAAAGGTAAGTTTTGATCCCGATAATTTTCGGATCACTAGACTTTCAGCTAGGAAATCCGAACAGATAAAAAATGTTTAGGGGATAAAATTATGCCTAAATCTACCGATTAAATACTAAAATACGTTTAACAATGCTATGTTGAGTGGTTTTGAACTATATTCTCGTTGGGTGCCCCTGGAGTGTAAAAGTATTACTTGTAGTCATATGATAGACTGGTAGGGAAACGCAAGGATATTTCTCAAATGCACTCAAGGCCAGTACTTAGAGCATAGCAGTCATATCAACTCGGCAAATCTTCCCCTTCACCAGCCCGATCTATTTTTGTCACGTTTTATGACAGCCCTTGTAGTTTTGTTTCATACTCCATTGTAGTTTATTGTCGAGTTTTAAATTTGGAGTGTTAGTTTTCCTTTTTATTTTGATGTTGTATGAGATAAAGTTTTTACAGTTATGATAAAGGCTGTCTTTAAGTCCCAGTCCTGCGTGTTGGTTGTATGGTTTAGTTCTCATACCTTATACCTCTTCCAATTCATCGAATAGAGTCTTGGGAGAATTATTTCATATAGATGAGGGCCTACAGATATAGTATACAGTGGCAATATGGGCGCGATAGCGCCCATCAGGACTGCTAACGGTGTAGTTTCTAGGGAGTTTCGGGTGCATGCTCCTCCTTGAATATTTTTGAGTTTGAAGTTCTCTGAGATGCAATGTAGTGCATTCTGGACGCTTAAATTTAGCAAATACCTGGATTCCATATTGAGCCTGTAATGCTGAAATATTTAATAAACCACAGAAGGGGGGCACTTTACAGGCCGGGGCCCCCTTGGCCCACTCCTAATTCCGCCCTTGGTTACGTGTTCCAGAATCCAAGACTATCTTGGATTCCCTTACATGGGGCGATAATATCTAATGTTAATATTTATGACGTGTATTTCAGTTATATCAGATCTTTTAAAACGACACTGCTTTTAACGTGATAAAAGACATGATGACGATGACGAAGACTGACTTCCGTTAAATTTTTGAGTAGCACTTGGCGCGGTATAAACAAAGTCATTAGTGAATTTGCTCGGATTTACTGCATGAGGCTGATGTCATTTTGCATGCGGATATGTTAGCTGTATAACTCGAAAGAACGTACGATTTTAAAATTAATAAGGGTGGAAATTTACTGTTCATTTGGTTTATGTAAAATTTATTTATTTATTATTTATTATTTTGCTCCGCCTAACTAGAATACAATCTTTATACATGAATACATAAAAATTATTAGGCAGTGAGACCACCGCAGCCTAACCAATTAGAGTGGATCCTTCGTTAATTAAAAAAAAACAACAACAATCGTTGAAATAAAAAAAGGAACTAAAGCTACTGATATATAAACAAGAAAATCAAAAGGAAACAAAAGAGAAGTTGAAATTGCTAGAAGCAGCACGTCGGTGGACACAGGAGAGTCCTCGCTATGTTGCACCTAGGACAGATTGTTCTCCAGTTCTGATGTCGTTAACGTTGTACAGGTCCAGCGCCTTATTGTAATATTGCTTTATACAAGGTGGTAATAGAAACTTTAAGGTCCATTGCTGACATGATGGACACCATCAAGGTTTTTGGAGTAAACCAAGGATGTACTTAAAAGGGCCTTGCAAATCGTCAGGCAGATTCTCTCCAGATGTCCGCACAATTGATGGACTGATCGAGCCCCGAAGATAGTCAGGAAGGATAAAACTCTAACAATCATTATCGCCTCGTTACGGATTTAAGAACATGCATATAACCTGATTCCAAAGAGATGTTTTTTTCGACATGAAAGAAAATTCAATTCAGCTAACTTTACGCCGGATCTCGAAGTTCTATAAACTACATTTCGCGAATCACGCCTCGTTATGTCGCCAAATTACGTGTTCGGTTCGTAATCACTTCTTGAAAGTGTTCTGAATCTCGTTCCCCGAATCTTAACGTTAACAGCCTTAAAATCTTTTGCAGACTTTTTTGATGTTTTCTGTTTACGAAAAAAAAAAAAGAAAATATGGAAAAAAAAAGAGCACATCCTTTCAGCATTCCCAGTTCGAGGGCTTGTTGCTATACATTCCACTCTGGTATTTGTTGAGATCACTTCGTGCATATATACGTATACTAAAACAATTGTTATTTTCA